TATATGCATATTATGACAAAAAACATTTTTGAATTCCAACAAATTTTGTGATTTTTTTTTAACAGGAGCAGAATGTTTGCAGAAAGTCTTTTGTCATGTCAAGAAATAAACCAGTTTCTAGTTTTAATTTACACCAGCATAAATCAAATGTTTTAATTTCCTGTCATACTAATCCTACAGTTTGGCCTGTATTTTTTTTATTATTATTACTTTTAAGTCAAAAAAGTGTGGGGCTCTCACAGGTCACGTGGACTTTGTCAGCTGTTTCAGAGGTTTTTCTGAGGAAACAAAAAGAAAACAAACAAACAAACAAAAAAAAACCCTAGACAGCCGTAGCTTGGCTCACTGAGGAGGAAATACTTCAGAGATTACACATTTCAAAAACATCAATAATCTTTCTTTATAAGACAAACGTTGCCTTGAAAGTATTAACTGCAACAAGATGCCGTGATTATTGTGTTTGTCTGTAAAATAAAGTTGACACGAACAGACTGACCAAATATCTAGCTAACCTCAGTAAACCTGGCTACWAGCAGTACTCCTCACAAAGCAGGAAATCTCAGAGTACTGATATGCATGTATATTTAGTACTTTTACTTTAGCACACATTACTCACTTATGATTGAACTCTTCTGATGAGATTGTGTGTTTTAACATCTGAAGCCACAGAATCAGAGTTCTGACTGTTTAAGTTTCAGCAGTAAAAACTAACAGAAGTAATATTTCAGATTGAAACCAGTTGTAAAAGTAAAATATGTTAAAAGTCACATTACAGTGAAACCGCTGTATTTGTAGTTAGTTTACTCAGACTTGGTCACGATCCCACAGCTTGGCATTTCACAGAGAATATTTATGACCTTTGGATTTCTGTGATGCCAACACTGTGGAGCAGAGGCAGAGACAAGAACTCACTCATGCTGTCTGCGGATCTCCTCAATATCTCCATTCTCTGTGTTGCTGCTGGCCTTACGAGCCTTCTCCAACTCCTTCTCCAGCTCCGACCGGTGGGCGTTTTTCATCGCTTCAATAGCTGACATAACAGACACACATAGCTTAAATACCAACTACAAACAGACATTCTCTCCAAGTTGATATTATGATGGAGATTTCTTGACAGCGGCGTAAAATCTGCCATTTACCTGCGATCGTAGCTGCTGTTTCCTCCGCCAGCAGCCTCTCCTTCTCCTCCTGCAGGTTCTCCAGCTCCCTCTGGTGTTTCTTCTGGAGCTCTTCGATCACCTTCTGATGGGACTCCTCCATAGCAGCAAAACCCCTCTCACAGGTGGCCTAAAAGAAGAACGAGAAGCTGTAAGTTCACATGACATCTGGATATGAATCAGCATGTTCTCCTGCTCATTTACACCAAACAGTGAAAGAAAAAAGGAAATCCCCGACCCTTACCTATGTCAACAAGGATCGTTTATTTGGAGAGATTTCTGAAGTCATTTTGAAGCTGCTAATGCAAGCTACTGCCTAAAACAGACCAACTTTCTTACTGCAGCTGATGAGATGTGCATGTTTTGATTTATAAACTGCGTAAAAAGACATTTGTGGGAAATTGATTTTGTAAAGTTTAAACATCTTAAAAGTGTGGGGTCACTGTACTCTAAGATAAAAATATTGTGTTAAAATTGTTTAAAGCTTTGAGAGATATCCAAGTACCAGTTAAGTCATGTACAGACCAACTTTTTGTGATCAGTTTAAACTTGATTGTTTTTGATGTGAAATCTGAGGTTCAGGCTGGTTTTACTCATCTATCAAGAGTAACTAAGCCTCAAATCAAWTTTTTTTGCAGATAAACTGTCTAAATTGTGCCTTAAGGGTATTATCTTTATTTTTCTATGCAGATTTTGACATTTTCATGTAAATGTCTTTAATTCTGCAATATACAGTATATGGCCTGAAATCATCTTAGTGTTGCCCTCTATGAGTTGAACAGTGGCTGCTGCAGCTGAATTTTCCTTTGATAAAACAGTAAAGCTTGGTACATGTTTACGTCGCAGCTCCTACATTTGGGTATAAAAGCCTCTCACTCAGAGACACGCCCATGCAGCGAGTCAGGGGTTAGAACAGTTAGCACTGCGTTTGAACTGCTTAGAACATTAGCAATGAAGCTACTAGCATCACTTTAACACTCAGAAACTGGACCCACTCTGTCCTCTGCCTCTGCAGCACCGGCTTCATGCATCGCTCAGTCAGCCGCTCAAACCCACAAAGCTCAGATCTTCCTCTGCTGTGAAGCTACCTGCGTCGCTGTGGTCACTCTCCTATTGCTGAGTCTAACCAGGCTTGTGTCTGAGCTGCTGCATAATTTTAGCCAGTCTTTGTGTTGATAAAGTTTGTTTTTATTTCCTCCTCTGTGTGTATATAAAGTGGGGCTTGGAAGAAAAAAAAAAGACACACAGAAAGTATAAAATCTTAGGGCTGTGTATTGGCTAGAATTTGGCGATACGATACATGTCATAACAGAGGGGTCACGATACGATATATCCCGATATACTGCGATACTGTAAGCAAGGCAGTATATTGTGATATATTGCGATTTTTTTGTCCAAAAATTCTATTAAATAAAAACCTCTTACTGGAAAAAAAAGAAAAAGAAAAGCTAATGTTTACTTACAATGCTAATGCTACCCTTACTCTGGTGCTCAAGAGGTAGAGGAGCCAAATGGCTGGCTCACTGCTGCCAACTAGTGGTCAGAGGCTGAACTACAACATAAAAATGAACGGTTGGCAAGAAGKTTGACATTTTAAACCTTAATTAAAAATCGATACAGGGCTTTAGAATATCGATACAGTATCGGAAAATGAAATATCGCGATATTTCATTGTATCGATATTTTCTTACACCCCTATAAAATCTGGTGTTTTGATTAAAGTAGGGCTGCAACGATTAATCGATTAATCGACGACTAATTGATTATTAAAATAATTGATGACTAATTTAATATTCGATTAATCGTTCTCTCTTTTTTTTGTTCTTTACTTTGTTTTTCTCTCCAAACTGCTTTGACACCTTCCACTGCCACATCTGCCTTTCTGTCCTTGACACACGTGCACAGTAGTGGTAACTGGGGTAGACAGTGGACGTCACAAGACATTACACAGACAGGCTCTGGTATCATGGCTACCTGACAACGGAGCTCAAAGTGTGGGATCATTTTAAGAAAATGAAAGATAAACCTGTCAAGCTGAAGAAGGAGTCCTATCGGGCCTTTCTGGCCTATGGGACTCCAGAAGCAGCTGATGGGTACCGGCAGGCGAAGCGGCACGCGGCTCGGGTGGTCGCTGAGGCAAAAACCCGGGCGTGGGAGGAGTTTGGAGAGGCCATGGAGAAAGACTTCCGCACGGCTTCAAGGCGATTCTGGTCCACCATCCGGCGTCTCAGGAGGGGGAAGCAGTGCAGCACCAACACTGTTTATGGCAGGGATGTCAAACTCCTGTCCTCGAGGGCCGCTATCCTGCATGTTTTAGAGATTTTTTTGCTCCAACACACCAGATTTTGAT